TGCCCTAAACAACTAGGGCAGAACATCTTTGAACCGAGTTAAGTGTGCCCTGTCCTGGGCAATGTTACACCAGTTACAGTCCAGACAGGTTTACTCCCAAGAAATCTAATAATTTATCTGCAATTTCTTAGAGACTAGGTACCTCTGAGGTTTTGCCATGACTTAATTCCGACTAAAGGCCTAGATAAAAAAAAACCAGCATAAAAGAGGAAGTGTAAGAGGGGAATTTGAGTAGGCTCAGGCAAGGTTTCTGTATTTCCTTGTGTTTGGGAGTGCTTGGGTTTTAGTTGGGTTTATTAATGAAATTTAAATTGTGAATAAATCTTGAATGTTGATGCAAGCTCATCTGTGCTTTATAAAAGAATTGCCTAAATTGACTTCTGGGAAGAAGTAGGCTCTAAAAGAGAACCTAAATTATTTTTGTAAATGGCTATTTAATTGTAAACATAAGTTTTTCCTACCACAATATGTCTGTCATGTTCAGAGTAATTCCAGTTCTTTTTTTTTCTTTTAAACACTGCAATATTCTTTTGTTCAGCATATGCCCATTATAGAAAATGTCTATGGCAATAGCAGAACACAGTTCTGCCTAACACAAAGCTACATAAAAAACTGCCTTCACAGAAACAAGGATAGTTAGGTGCTGTATTCAGCACCTAAATATTATAGAGAGACCACTCTGCCGTGGAGTGTGGAAAACATACAGAGGAATGATCTGTAGGGTAAGGGATAAGCTTAATTTCCTAATTTCCTTCCTTCTTTCACTTTTCAAGTCTTAAAAAAAACCCAAAACAGTTGCAAACACGCTCTGCTGATTTCCTTTGGCTGACCTTTATAGCAGCACGTTCCTTTCACTACAGTGCTCCTCCACCGCCTTCATTTTGTGCCCTGCCCCAAACCCTGGGGCTGAGGGTCCCCACACTGCATTCAGGGGGGAGCCTCCATCGCGCAGCTTTTCTCTCCCATTGCTCTGATGTCTTCTTTGGTGTGCAACAGATTTATAGGTAACTTTCAGAGCTGTAGGTCTTTAAATGGCCTTCATCGGGGGGGTGGGGGTGGGAAATCCCAAAACACAATTCTTCACCCACTAATGAGAAGCAATTGATCATTAATTCTCATGCTCTGATCTTCCACAAGCAGACTTTCCAGGTACTCCAAATTAATCATTTTCTTATGAATTCACAGATAAAGTTAATAGGAAGGAGTTACCTCATGGGATTTGAGAATTGCAGCAAGTCTTTAGCAGAAATACCTTTCCTTAACAGGCCTTGAATTTGTAAGGTTCCAAACCAAAAACGTGTATATGAAGTGTTGGTCACATCAGGATTAAAACTCCCAGCAACCTGTGTGTGCCCAGCACGCCAGACTCACGTCATTTCCTCGAGCTCACCCATACACACCCCTTCCCTGTCCACATTAAGTCCCTTTTAGCAAGAGACTGCCACCAGGGTCATGAGTCAAGCAGGCTTGGCTAAAAATATTCTCCAGCACTGTCCCTCATCTGCCTCGCTGTTGTCCACCTTTGCCTTAATGCTGGACATCCTTCAAGCTTCCAAGTTGTTTGCAAAGCGCCTACGGCTATCAGTGCTAGCACCAGCAAACCCCAGGAGACAGCCACATCCTAGCACTGGGCACACATCCTAGCACTGGGCACAAACCTGCATGGCAGCTACTTGCAGCTGAGGGATCCTCCTCAGTAGTTATTTTACTCCCCCTGGTTAGACTAAACTAACTATGCGTATTTCTGTTTATTCACTATTCATAATTCAAATACAAGTGAAATTAAAAGGATCTAGAACGGCAATCTAGTTAAGAACTTTAATGAATGTGAATAGCATTTTAGAAATAAAGTCTATTATAAAGCACTTGAACTAATTAAAAGTTCACTCCCTGCCTAAAGCCCTTAGCATTCTGCATTAAGTAAAAGCCTTTTAAAGAAAGCTTTAAAATTCTGAACTGCTGCAGCTAAGATCTGAACAGGCAATGGTGAAACTAGCGTATCTCATTCAGTAGCATAAACAAGGAAAGAACAGTTAAATACATCTACATCCTGAGGGGGAAAAAAAAAATAATCTTGTTATGGGTGAAGCCATTTTGCAGTGAACAAGGTGATAATTTGGGATGCATCAGCTCTTCAGGATCTCAAAAAAATTATAGATGTTCCACACACTCCTTTCCAAGCAACAGTAGCCAACAATAAGATAATAAAAATAAATAAACAAAAAAAAATTCTTCAGAGCTGACTGCCGAGGCAAAGAAGGCCTAGCTTATCTTCTCCGGAGAACCTGTGCACTGGACCTTTGAACTAATGTCTTTTTTCCCTTGTTTACACAAGGAAAGTTTTTTAATAACATCTTAACAGCATATCTAATTAATCAGAAATATACATAAATAATAGATTCTCAGAAGCCTGATGAAGCTTGAGATAATTGTAACCTAAAATAATAATGTAATTCCTAAGAGGATGCGTTATCTTTACATTGTCCTAGCTTGGTCTTGGTCAAACACAGCAAGAGAGTAAATTGCTACATTAGAGGTTAAAAGCAGAGGAAAAAACCCAAGTCAAATAGAAGAGCACGCAGCTGAGGAGACAGAAAATACTTGTGATCAAAGGGTGACACAGCATGGGTGTTTTATTAATCTTGCAGGAGTCCAGCCAATAACCCTGCCAAGGGGTTGTCCACGCTCCTCCCCATGGCTGGGGCTGCTCCACCTGTAACAGGCAGAGAAAACCTCACCAGACCGCTCTTGCTCATGCCAGCCCTGGGGCTGGCATGGGTGGCAGCAGGGCCCCAGCTCACCCCTGGCCAGCGTGACTGAAGCAGGTGCCAGCTATTTTTATGTCTAAACTGCAATTCAGATCTGACCTGTTATTAAGTTCAAAGGGAGAAGCGGCCGCAGCAACGCCACCGGGAAGGCAACGCGATGTGCTCCCAGCTCATCGGTGGAGATCGGGAGGCTACAGCTGGAAGGGGGCATGCGGTCATGGCTCTGAAACGCCTGGTGGGCTGCAGGAATGGTCTGCTTCACCTGCTGTAGGCCAGTGGCTGCCCAATGCTGTACAACCTGTGAGATGCCAAAAAGCCCTGACCCCTTCCTCCCCATGCATCACACAACCCATTTCTGGCAGCACCAGACTGTGGGTAGCACACGCTTGCTTGGGCTGATCTCAATGTTTCTAGGTACCAAAATGTGTGCATAGTTTGTAAATAAAGGGGTGTGGCACCAAATTATTAAATTTTGAAGTTCTACATGACAGGGAACTGAAGTAATAGTTGAATCTTAAACTGATTTAAACACGCTAACTGATTCACCAGTTCATTCTCGCAACACAGATCTCAAAGGACTACTCAGAATGTAATGAGTGGCTAACTATGCGCAAGGAATCGTGTCCGCAGCAGATCATCTGCAAATTGAGAATTACTTCAAAATCCCTTTCAAGTAAATCATTCTCCTGCTACGAAAATCTCAGCTTCTAAGATTAGAGATCTTTTGGAAAATTATTCATTCCCTCATCTCACACTTAAAAGGATGCCAGAGTTACTATATCCTGGACTGTAACTGAAGCCATACAGTGCAAGCAGCTTTCCTATCAAGGGACCATCTTTTCAGTGAGATCCATTATATATATATCTTAGGGTTTGATTGAGGTATTTAGTATCTTTTTTTTTTTTCATAAACACAAGAGCTGAGCAGTCTTCTAATCTCTGAGATTGCAAATGCCCAGCTTCTACAGCTGCAGTAATTAAACCAACTTCTCATGCCATTACCCACATCGTCTCTTCCTCAGCATCTGCTCTATTCCCACATTGCACTCTTAAATCAAACCAAGATAAGCTATTTTCTAAGATCAGCTGACTTGTCTCTCCCTCAAAATCACTGCAGCCAAAATGATTCTGAGCAGATATGAAGCATCTTGCTAAATATCCAAAAGGTCTCTTTTAAAGAAAAAAAAGTAGACGTCAATGCAAGTGGATATTTTTAGCACCTGAGTTGTTCTATATTTATTCCTTTATATCTATCTAAAAAACCCCATGATCTCTGATGAAGCATTACCAGAAAAAAAAGTCTACTGGAAAGTCTGCTTTATGAATCTTAGCTACATGAGCACTGCAACAAGTACGTCCCGCCACCCATTCAACCATACAAGTCTAAGGGTTAGGAGCGTACACAGAATAATGTTTCCTTGGTTTCAAAGAGATGCTTAAAAAAAAACCAACAACAACCAACAAACAAATAAACCAGCCCAGAAGGCAAACTCCTGAGCATAATCTTTTTGTCATTCTGCTTAGATGCAACACTTGAGCCTCATGCTTAAAAACTTCCACCTTGAAGTATTTCTAATTGTCTAACCCCCAAAAAAACTCAAGACACCTTGTGGGTTAGCTGTTAAAAACAAAACAAAGCCACCACCCCCAACTCCAGGACACACCATACTTCAACAAAACCTCAGGTCAGCAGCAACAGCAGCGGCTCAGGTCGTATCAATATTCAGGCAATAAAAGACTACTTATCTCTTCCTTATTCTGTTTCCTTATAGCTGTTACCTTCTTGCCCCGAAGACCCCTGCCCTGTTACCTCCAACATGTTTACACTACCCCAACAGCCTTGTGCCTTTGATCTTATGCAAATTATTGGAGGATTTATTTTCAAGGGCAGGATACAGGTTATCAAAGGTGTGGGTTATTTGTGCAGGAAGAGATACCTCAGATAGACAGGAAAAGCACAATTGTGTCAAGGAAGCTTCTCCTAGTTGTAGTAAACTTTCATTAAAAGAGAAAGAGAAAATAAAGTAATTTAAGAGAGGGTCTTACATCCACAAAAACTGGAAGGTAACTTGTATTTTGAAGCTAACTATTTTAATTTCCTGCTCTAGAAAGATACCTGTTACCTACCCACAGTTATTTTAGATTTTTGAGTTATGCTAGATCTCTTAATGTACTCATGAAAATAGCAAAAGGGCAGGGGGGCAGATGGGAAGATACTGGTAAAATACTTACCTCTATATAAACTTGAAACTCCTCTCTCCTCCGACCTTGAAGGACTCTGTCTTCCTTCCAGATACTCCCTACCTAGAAGACAGACATGTCTCATCACTCAGCCATACCCTCCAAGTATTTTTCCAACCGGCATTACCTACACATTGACAGCTCTCCGATCCCAGGGTAAACAACAGGCAGGTGAGGGACTCCAGAGTACAAAACTATACCAGAAACATCTCGGCACACACACTGATATCAAATGAGTAAGTTTGGTCAGTGGCAGGTTATTACTACTTTCATACAGTGCAAATCACCTCAGTCTGCAACTTGCCACAAGGTAAAAGTATGGCTTTTCAAAAAAAATACAGGCCTTTCCAAGTTAAAAATATATGTGCCTCAATTACCTTAATCTCAGACTGACCTTTGTATATTTGTCTTTGAAGACCTTGCACTGCACTATTGCACTATGGAAGGCAGCGAGACTTCAGGTTAATTTTACGCAATTTTAAAACAAGCCGCTCTGAAGGCTTTTAACTGAGCAAACCCACCTAACCCTCCTATCCAGTTTTGAACTATTTTTTTTTCCCTTCTGATTAAAATGTTTCCCATCCAGCTGTGGTTTCAGTTCAGTCTTCTGTAAACAACTAAAGACAAGGAAATAGCTAGCTTGAATTCAAGAATCCTCTCCTCTTAGCCACATAAAATTCACAAAAAATGGAAATTCTCTCACTGTTGCCAGAGCCTCCCCTGCTATCAAAAAATAGTTTATCATTGTAAATTACCCCAAAGCAAGGCAACAGAAATATCCAAAGCCTTTGAAAGACAGAAACCAAATGCTGCATACCCTCTCTGGTTACTAAAAACAATACAAAAATCACATACTCTAACAGAAACAAAGTTAGGGTTTGCTTAAGATAGGTACATCTGTGGAGAAGGAACAGCATATCCAATTTATTCTTATTTCCTGGATTAAAAGCCATTAAGCTCACGTGACAATTTTTTTTAGAAAATTTGTCTACCTTTTGTGAATTGGATAATCCCTTTTTCAAAATGGATTAAATTCCAGAATAAGCATGTCAAGAAAAGTTTGTCCAGAAACATGCATTGTGAATGAACTGGGTTTTGCCTCTGGCAGTCTTCCCTTCTGCTATATTATTTAATGCCCAGATTAAGCTGTTTTGTGGCTTCTTTTTGTTAGTACTCGGGTGTCAAACTGACCACATATAACCTGTGCACTGAAAGGCCAATATGCAGCTAGGTATAATCCATTTGTAATTACAGAGTCACTCACATACCCTTCTCAGCACTAGAGCTGTCTGATGTGCTTCTCTGAGCAGACACAGGCAGACATCCTGCAGATAAGAGCTGGTTCCTTAACATGGGCCGTGAACACAAGACTACAAGGACACATCCAAACAACCAACTTGGGAGGTCACTCCCAGGACAGCCATGCTGCAATCAAGAGCACATGAGCTACAAAAATAGCTTCTTTCAGAGTAATTAAGACTCCAGCACAAACTCCAGCACCTGCCCCTACTATGGAAAAAGCAACAAGGGAAGTCCAGCAAGAGCACTACTGAGTACTAGCCATAGCCAGCATCAAAGCCACCAGGGAAGCCGCAGACTCAATTGATCTAAAATAGCACATTAATCCACAGCACCAGCCTGCTTTTGAAGGGAATGTCCTATTGCTTCTGCGACTTGGACCACAGAATGATTTTGGTGTGCACAAGCCAGATTCCCTTTGGATGAAACCAGATCAGAAGATCCACCTACAGCGTCACAAGCATCCAAAGCAATGGGCAGGCTGCACATCTGCAAAGCTCTCCAGCACATCCCAAGCAGTAGGAGACTCTTCAACTGTCACAAATTTATGCAATACCTGGAATACCTCATGCTAAACAAAGGGTTAAGCAGCGCCCTTTGCACTTCTGTAAGTAACGTATTTTTGTATTTGATGTTAACCACCAGCTCTCAATTCTTTGTGATCCACTTTGCCTTCCATTGAGGCCTCTCTTGCCTCAGTGCCATTTCTCTTTCGTCAGTGCCATTTCTCTTTCCTCAATACCTGCCCTGCCTTCTGTTGCCTTCCTCACCATTGCTGAATGCCACCACTTCTTTCAGCTTTATTTTGTATTGTACTGCCTCCAAATGTCCTTTCCTATGGCAAAATCAACCTCCTTCAGGCTCACAGAAGACCCAGCATGGTGGCACCTGGAGCTGCGTGGAAACAACACCGCTCATCAAGCAATGCTGAAAGGGGGATGAGGCTTCTCCAGTGGCAAGAGGAGGCTAACCAACCAAGGAGCAAGACTGCTGACTTGCAACTGCAAGAGGACTGGTGATGGGTGTCACAAAGATCAAGGGGATGAAGGTTGCCTTCTTAAAGGCCACAGAACATGGGGGCAATATGGCAGGCATACCCTTGCTACAGACATCTTCAAACAGATCTTTGAGCACATCATCAACCCTACCCCCTACCACAGGATGTGCATGTGCTGGGGCCAGGGTCATCACACAGGAAATACTGTAAGACAGCACAGCCTCTATGCTTCCTGTTCCCAGACCTTACAGGTAACTCCTATGAGGGAACATCGATGTTCAGGGAACGGACACTTCCCTTTGTCCATTCTCCCCCACGGCCAACACCAGCAACCTCCTGCATTAACACCTCTGATTCCAACCCAGTTAAGTGCATTGCTTTTCTATACTTGGTGCTAGGAAAGAAGGATGTGTGCACATGAGTCTTCAAGCTGAATTACAGAGCGCTGATCTTGGGCCTGCAGAGAACCAAACAAACATCAGCAGTCTGACTGGGAAGGCTGTCATGCCTTTAAAAGCAATTCCACAAGGGCAGAAGATTGCTGTTGCTTCATGGCAAGCAGCTAAACTAGAAAGCATCTCTCCACTCCTTGCCCTGTACAAGAGCGTCTCTCAATCCTGCTGACCAAGCACACCTGCACGCAGCATATTCTGCTAACACAGCCTGCAAAGGCCCTGACTATGGCCCCCTCCTTCCCCAGCGTAGTGGCACAACCCCAGAAGCACACAGGCCTAGGTCACACCTTGATCCAGGTGGGCTGTTGTCTGGCATAGAGCAGATTCACAACAGTTACTGATGGGATGCCCTCAAAGGCCACCAGATATTCCCAACTAGATCTCCGCAGCATATTCTGCTAACACAGCCTGCAAAGGCCCTGACTATGGCCCCCTCCTTCCCCAGCGTAGTGGCACAACCCCAGAAGCACACAGGCCTAGGTCACACCTTGATCCAGGTGGGCTGTTGTCTGGCATAGAGCAGATTCACAACAGTTACTGATGGGATGCCCTCAAAGGCCACCAGATATTCCCAACTAGATCTCCCTTCAGCACAGACCAGCAAAAAAAAAACAGCTAAACTAGAAAGCATCTCTCCACTCCTTGCCCTGTACAAGAGCGTCTCTCAATCCTGCTGACCAAGCACACCTGCACGCAGCATATTCTGCTAACACAGCCTGCAAAGGCCCTGACTATGGCCCCCTCCTTCCCCAGCGTAGTGGCACAACCCCAGAAGCACACAGGCCTAGGTCACACCTTGATCCAGGTGGGCTGTTGTCTGGCATAGAGCAGATTCACAACAGTTACTGATGGGATGCCCTCAAAGGCCACCAGATATTCCCAACTAGATCTCCCTTCAGCACAGACCAGCCAAAAAAAAAAAAAACCCACCAAACCAAAAAACAAACTCCGAGGGATCAAAATTTTTGGAGGAGCCCTTTTCCTTCCTTTTCGCTCTCTGCCTCTCCCCTTCCCCCTGCTCCCCCCGCGCTTCTCTGCCTTCCCCTGCTGCAAATTTGAGCAGGTCGCAGGACAGATTCTTGCACTACAGCACTGGCCATAGCAAAGAGGTAACTACCATGCATGGTAGGATATCCTATTCGGAGGTCAACTTCATGTGTCCCTTACAGGAGGAGCAAAAATGGGTCTATCAGTTTATACTGCCTTCCATCTCCTTCCGCTGCTCCCACTAAGCTGCAGAAATTTGTCTTTACAAACCCGGGGAAACTAGTCAGAGCCCTGCATTATATCAATACAGCAAGGACCAAACAGTTTGTTTTTCTCTCCTCCATAAGGTCCTCTGATGTAGAGGAGGTCTTAGGCGCAAAGACAGCCCCTCTTCACCAACCCCAGGCATCTTATCCTGAAGTTTCTGCAGGCAGGGGGCAATGTATGCAGTAGCAGGCCAACCCACTGTAGCACCTCTGGTCTGAAGGGGTACTTAAGAGGGGAGAAGGAGAGAAGAGAGGAGGGAGACCCTGGGCTGGCACAGGGAGTTACAGCAGGCCCCACAAAGGGTTTTGGTTCAGCTCAACGCCAGATGGGCAGATAGCCTGGCGAGGTGGCAGCTCCTGCAAAGTCCTTCATCTCCATCCAGAGTCCCCACCTCATAATCACAGACACCAGCAGGTACAGCAGTGCAAGAGCAAGGGGAAGGCTGTCAGCCCCAGTGACAGCTGACACATCCCCCCACAATCCACAGAGCTTCTACCTAAGTACTTAAGTTGGGCCAAGAAGACACAGCATAACGACAGTCATCGCTATATGGAGCCTGTTAAGACTTCTATTATCACAACTCTAGAAGAGGTCTCTGCCCTTCTAGTTAATGTTAATAAAAATAATCCTGGCCTAATCCCCCAAAGGCACACTTGGGATATGGGACACCTGTATGGTTTGTCATATTCCTTGACTATCCTCATCCTAAAAACTCTTAGGTACCACTGCCTTCCCTCACCAACCCTTGAGGTGGCAGCAGCTAATACAGATCTTGCCAAACTTGACTACCCTTCCCCACCCCAGCAAAGCAAAGAGACACTGCCCCTCAAGCCCACTCCCCTTCCTCTGAATGGCAAACCATTCTGTCAGATGAGGTTTTCTCAAAGGCTCACAGGCACAAACCTGGACATGAGGAAGTCCCAAAGGGTTGGGGGCCCAGCAAAAATGCTGTCAAGACTAATCAAAAGGGAGAAAAAGGGATGATTGATTTGAGCACCACCAGGAACAGAGTGCGCACACGTGTGCTTGCACAGGCATGCAAACGAGGAGGGCAGGTTAAGAAGACCCAGAGTAGCATTGGGAATCTCTTACTTTTTATTCAGCACAGACATGTTCACACACTAATAAGTCATGGCACATAATTTCGTTCCCCCATTCCACTCTGTCTGCTCCCAGCCACTGATCACGGTGGTCTTCCTCTGTGATAAGCGTGCTAAGATGAGTGTCATGCTGGGTGCTCCAACTTTTTGAAGCAGATGTAGGAGGCTAAAATTACAGTCTCAGAAAAGGGTCACCCACATCCTCAGTGTCCACAGCAGCCACCTGTGATTCAGAGGCCACTGGAAATATTCATGTCTCACCTTTTGTGCAGGCAGAACCAGGCAGCACGTTCCACCTCAGTAAGGCAAGATATGAGGCCATGGCCCGTAAATACCCTTCCATGGTCCAAAGCTGGCAGGACTGCCAAAGGGCTGCCCCCACTGTTTACCTACTGGCGGGCCTGGGCCAGACACCAGGCTGGAATCAATACTGCTCACACTGCCTGGGGATCCACAGAGGGCAAAGGCCCAGGTTATCTTGTTGATAACTCCCAGTACATGGAGGTAAAAGGTTTGGAAGATAGCCTTGGAAACCTTGATCATAACTACACCCAGACTGGAATTGCTCACCCCACATCAGCTCACCACTAGTGGTAGGAACTGAGGGTCATGAGACTTTACATATGACAGTCACTCTTTTGCGCAAGGTCTAGGCTGCTAAAATTTCATTCGGTGACAGCAGAGATGTTGTACCATCTGATGGCAGAAGGCCTTGACTGTGCCTCTTCACACACAAAAGCTCTGTGCCCACTGCTGGTCATTTCATTGTCTCAAGATCAATAGCATCCTACTGAACCAAGCTTCTCCATTAGGGCCAGAGAAAAAGCAGCTGCAAAACTTCAGAGGAAGCTCTTACTTCTGCCTTCTTCCCCAAACAACAGGATGTCCAGGAAGGTGAGAGTCTGGTCTTTTGGGTGTGCTCCTGGAGCAGCTGATGGTGAAAAACACCCATCTCCCCTGACATCACTGATCTCAAGAGTCAAGAGGGGATCCAGGCAGCAGGTTGCATAGGTCACTCCAGCGAGCCGGAAGAGAAATAAAGTTTGTTCCCACAAGAGGCTTACACAGACACTACTGACAGGGCAGTGACATGCTAGCATCATCCCTGCTAAACAGGGAAGAGGACAATTTGACATTTCCTGAAGCAACAGTCCAAAGAGCAGAGGTTAGTGGGACAGCTTTCCTTCAGAGAGCTCTGCAGCACACACAGAGGGAGGACAGTCAG